AACAATACCACGCCTTACGAAGGGAACGGGCCAACTTTTTGCGTCTAGAGGCCCTCTTGGGGCGCATCTTCGATGCCTCTTGGGACCTTTTGGGGGCATATTGGGCCGTCTGGATGCCATGTTCGGTGTTGTTGATCGCTCTTGGACCGTCTGGGACCATGTTGACTCTCTAGGAGGCCACTTGGAGCGCTCCTGGAGCGCTCTTGGGGCCGTTTTCGGGGCCCTCTTGGGCCGTCCTGGACGCCTGTTGGGCCGTCTTGGACGCCTGTTGGGCCGTCTTGGGGCCCTCTTGGAGGCTTCTTGGGCAGTCTTGGGGCGGTCTTGGGGGCCTCTTGGGCCGTCTGGGAGCATCGGAAAGCCCAGAAGGCGAATGTGTGAAACATGTACGTTTTACGAAGGGGATGGGTCAATTTCTGCGTCCATGGACCCTCTTGGGACGCATCTAGGAGTTCGTGGGGACCTCTTGGGCCGTCTAGGAGGCCTCTTAGCCCGTCTTTGGGCCATCTTGGGCGTCTTGGAGCGCTCGTTTGTCGTATCGGGGCCTTCGTGGGCCGTCTTGGAAGCGTCTTGAGGCCTTCTTGGCTCGTCTTGAGCCGCTTTGGGGCCCAACAAAGCCCCGTGGCGCGCTCGTCGTCGGCGAGGGGGGGGGGTCAAATCTCCGGTTTAGGGGTCACTGGGGGGGGCGGGCGGGGATTTGGGGGGGGGGAACTATCTCACACGCATAGTGACCCACAAGGGGTCGGCGGACTTCCTTACAACGGGCCCAGGAATCACGTTATCGCGTGAATTCTCCCTGCAATTGATTCAGACGCTGCGCCCTCGACGTCTAAGAATCGCGTTTTTTACATGAGATGTCCTTACACTTTGCTCAAGAGTCGTGCTCTCGTTGACGCTTCTGCCCAATTCACGAAGTTCACTTCAATGCCCCGCCTGCCCGTTAGGGCCCGCCCGCCCGGCCTGCCCGACCCGCCGATTAGGGTCCGCCCGCCCGATCCGCCCTTTAGGGTCCGCCTGCCCGTTTGGGTCCGTTTGCCAATCGCGTTGTTTCATTTGTGTGTCCCTTCTGCTAAATATTGTTCGTCCTCGACTATCCTATCTCCCACTTGCTCTTTTCCCCTCCCGTTTCATCCTGCCTGCCTCGCCGTCTCCCGTTTTCATGTCGCCTTGCTCATACTTTGGCGCGCCAGCGACACGTGTTTGGCAAGGGGCACGCGTGTGTACATATATATGTGTATATATATGTACACATAAAGTGGATATACGCATTCGCATCATCCAAAGGTTGATAGATCGAATCCGAAGATGATTGTGGTATGCATGTTGAGTGACACGCGAGCGACGACGAGCGAACAATCTTGCTATGATTGTTGGTGCCGTTCAGATATGCAGAGCGAAGGCGTCCGTTCTGCTCCTCTACTCCGCCCTCCTTTTTCTCCATCTCCTCTTCCTTCTCCTCCTCCTCCTCCGCCTCTTCCGTCCTCTGCCTCTGGGGAGGGAGATGGGGGAAAGGGGAACAGGAAGGGGAGGAGGAAGAGGAGGGGGGGAGGAGGTAGTGAGGAGGATAGGGGGGAGGAGGGAAGAGAGGGGCGCATTCGCGCCCGCGCCAGATCTGACATCATACCCCTCCCACCCACCCCTTCCCTCTGCGCTGATGTGTTCACGATCCGCCGGCGCGTATCATAGCGGAAATCGGAAAAGGGGTGTTGCGTACATTTGAGGAGGAGGTGGCGGATGAGCAGGAGGACGAGCGGGAGGAAGAGAAGGAGGAAGCATGAGGACGAGGACGAACAGCAGCAGGAATTGGAGTGGAAGGAGCAGGAGCAGGAGGAGCAAGGTGACTCGGGAAACGGAGGAGAGTAACGGAGGGGAGCGACAACGATGAGGACGGGTTTGGATCCAAGAGTGTGACTCACGTTGGGGCGAGAGTGCCATTCTAATCGACGGGAGCAAAGCGCCGATCTTTGAACGATGCCCACGCTGAAGGACCTGAAGCGGCCATATTGTAAACATGAGCGTCGGAAAACACATGTTTGCAAGGCTGCGCGTAAAAGAAACACCGTATGTGGAGAGGGCAGAGCAGTTTCCGCACAGAGTCAGGGGAGAAGAGAGAGAGAGAGAGTAGTTCTCATATCAAGCGAGGCGCGCTGGCGCCATGTCTGACATCCTACCCCTCTCACCCGTCCTTTCCCACTGCGTTGTTTTGTTCTCCACCCGTGGACGAGTGCCATGACGGACTTGGTGTGGAACTCCCAAACAGACCCCATCGTGTTCTGCACAATCGGAAAACAAAGGGTGTTGCGTTCACTCACTGAAGGAGGAGGGGGCGGATGAGCAGGATGAAGAGGAGGACGATGAGGAAGCCTGAGGACGTCGCGAACAGCAACAGCAGTTGGGATTGGAGTGGAAGGAGCGGGGGGAGCATGAGGACGGGGAACGCGAACGGACAGGAAAAAGGAGGGGGCGACAGCGACGAGGAAGGACTCGGATCCTCCACACAAGCGGCCTGCGCTGGGGCGACACCGCCATTCTGAACGACGGACACCTCGAGGCCACTGCTGCAGCGGAAGTGAGTAGCATGTGGAAAGGCCGTAAGCGGTCGGATTGGAACCGCAACAGTTAAGCCAGATCAGCATCCCAGCTTTTGGAGAACAAGCGATACGGGTAGAGGGCGGGATACCCACCCCTCAGCACATTCGCAGGGAGGGCGGCGACCAGTATTCGTATTGCGCACTTGTGGAACAGAGGTCGGGGGGAGGGTGGGGGGAAACATGCTACCCCGCCCGTCGTGCCCAATTCGGCCGCGTGCATTTCACGTCTGCCCGAGAACGCGGCGAGGACCCTCGCCGCTGCGACAAAATAGGAGCAGGAGGAGGAGGAGGAACACAATCGTTAACCCAAGAGCCATCGATGTTGGAATACACCCTCGTCCAAGCTACATTTTCACAAGCCCCTACAACGGTTTATTTCCATTGAAGGGACTGCTCCGTTGGATGCCAACCTTTTGACGACCCCCTGAATCATGCCACAGCATTGCTCTCGGGATTCCAACGCCACGGATCCAACTGACTGTTGCGTCCTGACAATCGTGAATCGCGCCACTTCAACACAGCGAACCATCAGAATTGTTGCACCCACATAATCCTGAACCTTTTTTATAAAAAAAAACGCCGCTTCTGCACGCTGATGATGGGAACCCATGAAACATTTGCACATGTTTGAGACGAGTGTGCGCCGTGCTGACGCGAGAGCCACCTTTTGAAGAGGAACCGCCGTCAACCCGTGAAGCTCTTGCAATGTTTAAGACGAGTGCGCGCCGCGCTGAGGCGAGAGTCGCATTTTGAAGAGGAGCCGCGCTGAATCCGTGAATCCTTTGCAAATGTCCAAGGCGAACGTGCGAGGCAAAAACCACATGTTGAAAAGGAGCCGCCCTCAACCCGTGAAGCTTTTGCAACTGTGTTAGACGAGCGCGCGAGGTGATAGCCACATTCTGAACAGGAGCCGCCCTCAATCCGCGAACCTCCTTGCAATTATTATTACACCGAGTGTGGGCCGCGCTAAGGCGAGAACCACATGATGAAAGCCACCCGCCCTCAATCCGTAAAGCTCTTGCAAATTACATGATCACGGCGCTAACGCGACAGCCACATTTTGAAAAAAAACGCCCTCCATCTGCGAAGCGGCTGTCACGTGTTAAGCGTCAGATTCATAAATGGTGCGGAGGTCTAAGGCGAAACGCCCGGCCCGCCCTGCAAACTGGCCTCGGGGTGCGACAGGGAGTCGTTTTTTTAGAAGGAGAAATAATGGGGGAGAGGAGCAAGCCGAAGGAGGAGGAGGCTATTGTTTCACCAGGACGAGCGGTCGCTTGGCAGAGCGCGGCCGAGCTGGTTGTCAGAGGGTGGAAAGTGTTTTGGTGCCCGCCCGCACGTGACCAGGAATGACATCCAAGTTCATGGGAAGCCGGATGAACACTTCGGGACACATCAGTAGATTATATTTTCAAATTTGTTCAGGTGTTTCCCGCCAAGTACAAGTTGGGCCGGGAGACGTTGCGCCCTCGATCTTTGCGTTTTGCCAGCAAGGATTCGGTGGAGAGGTTTGTCAGCATATTGTCGGCTTGGGAAAACTCTCCGCGTTGCGACAGCCTCTTCACGAACATCATTGCTTGCCTTCCGAAGCCAAAAGGAGGAGTTCGGCCCGGCCATCGGACTCCTCAGCTCAGCCGCTCGCATGGGAAGCCGGGTCCGCCAGCGTGAAGTTCGGTGGTGGGAAGGACAGGTGGACAATTGGGCGTTCTGGCGTAAAAGTGCTTCGACCTCGGCGGAGAGAGCCAGCAATATTCATAATCGTGTGGTCTGCCACGCTCGCCGTAAAATGTCTCGTCTCGACAGCGGCCTTTTACGATACCACGAAGCTCTACGATAATATCTCCCATGCAGAGCTTCGACGGACAGGAGCCCATTTTGGTTTCAACATGGGGCTCCTGAGGGCTCTCTGTGCCCTCTACAGGTCTCGTCGACATGCCAGATGGGGGGGTAAGTGCTAGCGAACAGCTCACGGTTAGCAGCTTGGCGATTGCTGGGTGCTCGCGCGCCACAGGGGTCTCGAAGCTCATGGCGATGTCAGACATGGGCAATCTAGCTCGGAAGGCCCCGCCACGCAGGGCCATCGACGCGATGGGCGACCCTGGCGGGTCACATCATCGGGGGCCCAGAGACAGCGATTCAGTCTGCGGGGAAGGTTTGCGCCCTGGTCCAGAAGGGCATGGAGGAGGGGGCGCTGCCGTTTTCCCGGGGCAAAAGCTTTTGAATGCGATGTGGCCCGAGCCTTGTTCCCACGGCCCTGGAGTCCGCGGGTTTTGCCCGGGGGAGGACCAGCGCGCGCGGGCCCGCAGTGGTCTCGGGGTGGACTCCAACAATGGCCAAAGGCGACGTCTCGGGATTCAGCTCGCCAGGTCCAAAAAATCCATGGGGGCGGGGGCCCTTTTGGCCATGTCTGGTTCAAGCGCCGCGTCGCTCAGGGTCTTCCGCGCGGCGCCCCTCGCCAAGACCATTTGGGGCACAGCCGACCTCGGCATCTCCGGCGCTTCGTCGCGCCATCTCCGCGCACCGGCTGTCAAGTCTGTCGGGGGAGTGCCTCGTGGGGCAAGCGCCGTTCTTGAAAATTCCCCAGGCGCTTATCGGACTGGCGCGAGGACCCGCTGGACGTCGCGGCGCCGCTCTGCATCGGAGAGTTCGCGCGCGTCTACCAGGGCAAGTCGGCGATCGAGGAGGGGCAGAAGAGCGGTTTCGAGGACGCCCGGAGGGTGTCCCAGCTGGCTAGGCCTTGGGAAGCGGCGAAGCAGCCAGCGGCAGCGCTTGCCCTTGCACTGCGCACGCTGATCTGGATGTTAGATTTAAACAATGGCGCGGTCCACGACGACGCGGGCAGAATCTGGCCCCTGACTAAGTTCTCGCCAGCCTTCTTCGGCCACCGGGTCAATGCCGGGGCGCGATGGGCTTTCGATGTGGACGAGCAGGCTGGCCATGCGTCGTCCACAGTCTGCAACGGGCCCGTGTTCTGGGCCCCGCTACTTGAGTTGTTATGTCAGAAGAATGTTCCAGTTTGTCATGGTCATCACAAAAGTTGCCCGCAAGCGATGGCTGCCAACGTTTATTTGAGTCAGGGGCGCATGCATCTTCATGCGCAGGCGGTCCCAAGTGTGCGTCAGCTCTGCCATGGGGTTGCGGGTGCCAGTTTCCACCGTCGATTTGTGCGTCCAGCCCGTGATGATTGGATGCTTGGCGAAGGGGTGATTTAGATGACTGCCCTTGGAGTTTCGGAGGGATTCACTGGGACATCGACGCTGTCGATTGTGGGCTGGGGGTGTTCTGCCGCGGGCTACTTCCAGATCCAGGTCGCATCGTCGGCGGGCCAGTCAGGCTGGCCGAGGGCCCCTACATGCAGCATGCAGAGAGCCGGGTGGCCTCGCGAAAGGATGCTCTCGCAGCAGGGCGAGCGCGCGTGCGAAGATGGGGCGGGTCTCGAGATTTTGCGGCCGTCGCCAAAAGTGGCCGGTTGGTCTGTTGTCATCGGCGACTGCAGCGGCGAGGTGGTCTCAGCCCTGTTCGGCGTTGTGGCTCTCGCTGAAGGATTAGATCATGTTGCCAGAGACGGAGGAGATTTTCAGTTTCTCACGCCCCCGAGGAATGCTGCAGCGGTTCCGGGTGTCACGGTCCACATCGATTGTTCGGGCGCTCTGGGGTGCGCGGGTCTGTTGGGCAATTCGGCTTCGTCTTGGGCATCGGAGCAGGGAGCGCGCTGGCGGGGCAAGATCGGCGGCCGATTCCAAGGTGTCAAGCTCGAGAAGGTGAGCTCTCAAATGCCACACTATGCGGTCTGACAGGGCCAAATGTCCCATCGAGAGTGGAGAGGAAATCGGAAGGCCGATCGGCTGGCGAAAGAGTGTGCGCAGCCTTTCCGAGCAGCAGAAGACGAGTTGTTCCTGCTTGGAGGTCTTCGCGAGATTGCCCGACGCGTTGCGAGGCGCGGTGGAATTCAGCAAGCTTCGCTTTCCCACGCCGGGTTCAGGGACCACGTGGGCTTCGAGAGGATGAGTAAGATCGAGTTGGTGCCCACCCTTGGCCTTTCTATACCTGCTTGTTGTGAACGGGAGCCCCAAGATCCCGAGGGGGTCGAGGTACCTTTGGAGACCGACCCCGGCGAGTTCGTTCTTGTGTCTTGGGATTGAAACGGGCACCTCGACACGAAGGCCATGGTGCTTGAAGAAGGGGTCCAGGTAGACTCCATGATCTTTTGTACGATGCGCGGCAGTAGTGGTTCTTGTGGCTCCGTGCTGAACCCAGGTGCAAGTTGAAGTCACGCTGATGTCTCCGCAGTGCCAGTGGAGGGCGAAATCTATCCAAGGTCGGGCGGGGGGCTCCACCCACTGACGTCGGCGGGGGTCTGAATCTGTTCGGGATCACCCAGTGGGCGCCCTTCCTGGAGGACTCGGTGGAGGGTAGGAGTGGCGGCCAGGCCCTCCTTTTCGCGCCCTTCGAATTAAAAAATTCGTTCCAGGGGCGGGGCCCCTTGGATCAACCTCGAACGGGGTTTGGCCCTTTTTGGCTTCTCGGCAGACGAAGCGCGGACATTGGGGACCCAGGCCCGCGAGGTGGCCCGCTCCCGTCCAGTGGAGGAGGATGACACCTTCCCTGACGGGCCATGACGGCCCAGCGTTCGTTTTTGGCGCTGCCCGACGCCCCCTTCGCGTCTAGGGCGCTTCCTTCATGAGGTGGCATTTTTTGCCGCCTAGCTTGCGAGGAGGAGGAGGAGGAGGCGGAGGAGGAGGAGGAGGAGGAGGAGGAGGATAAGTTCCTCCTTGCCCCTCGTCCCTACCCCCCCAACGGGTGCTGGGGGCAAAACGCCACTTCCCGCCCCATGGGGCCCCCCTCCCCCCGCCCGTCGTGGTCATTCCCGCCTCGACCCCGTAAATCTAGTTTGAAGAGGGGGGGCAACCACGGCATCGACCCTTGTGCCCACAGCGCCAGCGTCACGAAGAGGAGAAGGAGGAAGTGGAGGAAAAGGAGGAGGAAAAGGAGGCTGAGGAGGAGGGGGAGGAGGAGGAGGAGGAGGAGGAGGAGGAGGAGAGGGAAATGGCGCTACGAGCGTTTGAGTGCGTTCAGCTGCCTGCGCAAGGAAAAAGGAGGGGGAAGGAGGACATACCCCCCTCCGAACCCAGACCCCCGATACATTCCCCTGGATTGGTTCTTGTTCATCCTGAGTTGTTCTTTGACGGCCCCGAGGCCTGACAAAGGTCCTTGGGGCCCAGAGTAGTGAACATATCCGCGCTGGACTCCCCTCCCTGGCGCGCGGGGCGCGCCAGGGGCGACGCCAGAGGCACCGACAGAAGCGCCGCCACGGGGGCCCAGCGCATATCCAAGAAATCCGCGCGAACCTCCGAAAGTGCGTGTTTACTGCAGTGTTTCGCTTCTCTGGACAGTCCTCCCGTCGTGGGTGTTGTCATGCCTTCGTGGGGGTCTGGGACCCCTCGGGGCAGAGGCGCGCTGCTCGCCGCCGCGCCCGCGGGCCGGCGTCGGGGGCCGTGGCCCCGAGCGGCGGCTGGCCAGGCCCGGGGCCGCGCGGGCGTGCGGCCCCCCCCGTCGGCCGGGGAGGGCGGTGGCATCGGCCGAGCAAGCAGTGGCGAAGCGTCCCGGCCAGCCCGTACATCTTCACCATCACCATCAACAACGAGATCACCATCATCACCACCATCACCATCATCCTCAGCATCAAAATCATCATCATCATCACCATCACCATTACCATCACCATCCTCACCAACAACAGCAGCAAAATCATCATCACCCTCCGCATCGCTCAAAGCAGGCACAGGATCAGCATCGTCATCATTACCATCATCCCACCAGAGAATGTTCTAAGAATTCGTGTTGGTAATTATGTCCAGGATTGTCTTAGAGCATTTCTAGCCGAGATCGTGTTTGCTGTTGCACATCGGGCTTATGTTCCAAGAACGTTCATTCGCTCTGTTCTTGGAAGGTTTTGGCGTTCGAAGACAATTTCGCGATAGGCCTATGGGAATGCTGGAGCGGTCGGTCCATGGTCAAGCCCAGGCCAGGCAGCAGCGAGCAGTGCCGAAGCGTTAGTGTTGCTCACCGACGGCCCCTCCCCAGAAATGGTCGCGTCGTAGACAGAAATCAGGACGGGAGGTTTTTGGCAATTTTCGGCCTCCCGGGGCCCTCGCCAGGCCCCAGGACCGTCAAAATACAATTCAGGATGAAAGACCGGTCCCGGGGAAAGGGTCGGGATCGCGCATTAAACCAATCAGGACGTCGCATGTCTGGGACCAGGCAGTGCCGGCTCGCCTCAGCAGGCACCCCTAGTACGGTCGGACCAAGGTACAGGATCGAAGTCGGTTCGGGTAGGTACCCTAGTGTTTTTCGTGATTGTTGGTTGTTGTTGTGCATCATCGGGGAGGGTACATCGCCGCTCCGAAAGTTCCTTGAATTTTCTGAGTTGGAGCCGATGGAAGTGTGTGATCGCTTACGTTGCACCCCTCTCGGCCACGGCCCCGACGGAGTTGGGGGTCAGGATGCGTTGAACCCCCTCTCCCCCCTAAAAGCCTAGCAAGATAGCCCTCTTGCATGGTCTCGACGGGATCCTCGGCGAGCAGTTCCCCTTTTTGATTGTATAGTCTTAGTTCGGCCAACCATAAATCCCACCCTCAAAAAAATAGGGTCCGGATCAAATCCCGCGTTGGGACCCCATCCCGCCAATGTATGACGTGTTCGGAACGTCGTGAGGTCATCTTGAAATCATCTCCAGGTCATTTTCAAATCATGGTGTTGTACGCTGGGAGTGACCCGGCCACCTCGGGGTTGCTCTGGGGCCACCGCGCCTGGTCTCCAGGGCATCGCTCGCATCTTGGGCCATCTTGGTTTCGGCCCCAAGCCATGTCGACGCTGCATCTGGATCCTGCAGGGGCCACGGGGTCCTCTTGGGGTCATCTTCGTGCCCGTCTGACGCCGTTGTGGAACCATCTTGGGGCCATGGGGCCGCCCAATCATCCTGTCTGGGTCGTGTGGGAGTCTTCCGCGTTTGCAAGGAAACATTCGTTCCGCCTAAGCTTGATCGCGCCTGCCGCACTCCGTACCATTCCAACCCAAGGTGGCCTCTGAGATGCAACTGAATTGTCCCTGCCTTCGCTTCGCTGTCGCCGCGCTGCCGCCTTGCGAGTGAAGAGCTACGCAGCCTGATCGCGCCCGCCGCATTCCGTATCATTTCGACTCAAGGTCGACCTCCGAAGTGCAAGTGAACTGTCCCTGCTGTCGCCTTGCTGTCGCCTTGCGAGTGAAAAGCTACGCAGCCTGATCGCGCCTGCCGTACTCTGTATGTTTTCGGCTCAAGGTTGACCTCTGAGGTGCAATTGAATTGTCCCTGCTTTCGCTTTGCTGTCGCTGTGCTGTCGCCTTGCGAGCGAAAAGCTACGCAGCCTGATCGCGCCCGCCGCACTCTGTATAATTTCGGTTCACGTTTGAGCTTCGAGGTGCAACCGAAATGTCCCTGCTGTGCTGTGGCCTTTCGAGTGAGAAGCTACGCAGCCGGATCGCGCCTGCCGTGCTCTAGGTGCAACTGAGCTGTCCCTGCTGTCGCTTTGCTGTCGACTTGGTGTCGCCTTGCGATTGAAAAACTGCGCAGCCGGATCGCGCCTGCCGCATTCCGTACCATTTCGGCTCAAGGTCGACCTCCGCGGTGCAACTGAATTGTCCCTGCTGTCGCTTTGCCGTCGCCTTGCTGTCGCCTTGCGAGTGAAGAACTACGCATCGCCGCTCCGACAGTCCTTTGAATTTTCTGAGTTGGACCCGATGGCAGCGCGTGCTCGCCTACGTCGCACCCCTCTCGGCAACGGCCCCGACGGGGTTGAGGGTCAGGACGCGTTGAACCCCCCTCCCCCTTAGAAGCCCAGCAAGATAGCCTTCTTGCGTGGGCTTGGCGAGATCCTCGGCGACCAGCTCCCTTTTTTAATGTATGCAGTTCTATCCTGGCCAACCATAAATCCCACCCTCAATAAAATAGGGTCGGGGACCCGATCCCGCCAAAGTATGATGTGTTCGGGGCATCGTGAGGTCATCTTGAAATCATATCCAGGTTATTTTAAAATCATGGCGTTGTACTCTGGGAGTGCCCCGGCCACCTCGGGGCTGCTCTGGGGCCACCGCGCCTGGCCCCCGGGGCGTCGCTCACATCTTTGGCCATCTTGGCTCCGGCCCCAGGCCATTTCGACGCTGCATCTGGACCCTGCAGGGGCCACGGGGTCTCGGGGCCGCCCAGGGGTCATCTTCGTGCCCGTCTGAGGCCGTTGTGGAACCATATTGGGGTCATGGGGCCGCCCAATCATCCTGTCTGGGCTGTCTGGGATTCTTCCGGGCTTGCGCGGAAACTTCCGTCGCGCCTAAGCTTGATCGCGCCCGCCGCGCTCCGTGTCATGTCGGCCCAAGGCTGACTTCCGAGATGCAACTGAACTGTCCCTGCTGTCGCCGTGCTGTCGCCTTGCGAGTGGAAAGCTACGCGGCCTGGTCGGGCCCGCCGCGCCCCGCGTCATGTCGACTCAAGAGTGACCTCCGAAGTGCAACTGAATTGCCCCTGCTGTCGCATGGCCGTCGCCCTGCTGTCGCCTTGCGAGTGAACAACTACGCAGCCTGATCGCGCCTGCCGCATTCCGTACCATTCCGGCTCATATTGACCTCCGGGGTGCATTTACTTTGTCCTTGCGGTCGCTTTGCTCTCGCCTTGCTGTCGCCATGCGAGTGTAAAACTTTGCGTCGCCGCTCCGAGGTTTCCTTGAATTTCTGAGTTGGACCCGATGGCAGTGCGTGCTCGCTCACGTTGCACCCCTTTTTGGCAACGGCCCCGACGGGGTCGAGGGTCAGGACGCGTGCCCCCCCCCCCCCCCCCGCAGAGGCTTCGCAAGATAGCCCTCTTGCGTGGTCTCCGCGGGATCCTCGACGATCAGCCCCCGCACGTTAGTTAGTTGTATAGTTATAGCCCGGCCAACCATAAACCCCACCTTCAAAAAAATAAGGCCCGGGTGAATCCCGCGGCGGGGCCCAATTCCGCCAATGCATCGCGTGCCCGGGTCGTTTTGAGGCCATCTCGAAATCATCTCCAGGTTATCTTAAGATCATGGCGTTGTATTCTGGGAGTGCCCCGGCCACTTCGGGGTCGCCCGGGGGCCACCGCGCCTGGTCTCCAGGGCGTCGCTCACATCCTGGGCCATCTTGGCTCCGGCACCGGGCCATTTCGACGCTGCGTCTGGATCCTGCAGGGGCCGCGGGGTCTTCTCCGGGTCGCCCCGAGGCCATCTTCGCGCACGTCGGAGGCCGTCGTGGAACCATATTGGGCCACGGGGCCGCCCGAGCATCCTGTCTGGGTCGTCTGGAGGTCTTCTGCGTTTTCGGGGGAACTTTCGTTGCGCCTGAGCCCGATCGCGCCCGCGGCACTCCGTGTCATGTCGGCCCAAGGTTGACCTCTGAGATGCAACTGAACTGCCCCTGCGCTACGCAGCCTGATCGCGCCCGCCGCTCTCCGCATCATGTCGGCTCATGGTTGACCTCCGAGGTGCAACTGAACTGTCCCTGCTGTCGCTTTGCTGTCGCCTTGCTGTCGCCTTGCGAGTGAAAAGCTACGCAGCCTGTTCGCGCCTGCCGTACTCTGTTTTCGGCGCAAGGTTCACTTCTGAAGTGCAATTGAATTGTCCCTGCTGTCGCTTTGCTGTCGCCTTGCCGTCGCCTTGCACATGAACAAATACTAAGCCGGATCGCGCCTGCCGCATCCCGTGCCATTTCGGCTCAAGGTTGACCTCCGAGATGCAACTGAACTGTTCCTGCTGTCGCTGTGCTGTCGCCTGTCGCCTTGCTGTCGCCTTGCGAGTGAAAATCTATGCGTCGCCGCTCCGACACTTCCTTGAATTTTCTGAGTTGGAACCGATGGCAGTGCGTGCTCGCCTACGTTGCACCCCTCTTTTTGGCGACGGCCCCGACGGGGTTGAGGGTCAGGATGCGTTCCCCCCCCCTCCGTAGAGGCCTAGCAGGATAGGCCTGTCGCGCGGTCTCGGCGGGATCCTCGGCGAGCAGCTCCCTTATGTTACTTGTATAGGTTTAGTCTGGCCAACCATAAATCCCGCCTTCAAAAAATTAGCCTGGCGAAAGACCCAACCATATGCAGTTGTGGGTATCGCATTCGGGGGAGCCCCGTATGGGGCCACGAAACGCTGTACTGGAGGGGGGGACGCATGCGGGCTGTGCCACTGGGGCCTTCGGTGGAGCCCCCATATGGGGCCACGAAGCGCGGCACTGGGTGGAGGGGCGCATGCGAACTGTGCCACTGGGACCTTCGGTGGAGCCCCCTATGGGGCCACGAAGCGCTGTACTGGGTTTGGGGGGGAGGGGGGGGCGCATGCGAATTGCGCAACTGGGACCTTCGGGGGAGCCCCCTATGGGGCCGCAAAGCGCTGCCCTGGGTGTCGGGGGACGCATGCGAACTGCGCCACTGGGGCCTTCGGTGGAGCTCCCGATGGGGCCACGAAACGCAGCCCTGGGCGGGGGAACCG